AGCAGCAAAAGATCGTTGCCGTGTGTCCGATTCGGTTCCTGTGCTGATAGTGTTGCTTTGTGTGTGTGCAGGTCCTGACGTCACACTCCTGCTCAGAGGAGGGTCTGGAGGATGCAGCCAACATCCTGCTGCAGCTGTCGCGGGGCGACGCAGCGACCCGAGACACGGTGTTGAGGCTGCTGCTCAGCGGAGCCCGACAGCTGGGCTACACCCTCTGTAAACAGATCGGTCCGTACTGCTGATGTGCCCGGGCACGGTGAACCCGGCGGCCGTTCGTTCACCTTTTCAGTGCTGCCGTACAGCAGGTTACCTGGAGTAATGCTTCCCTGTTGCTCTTCCTCAGGCACTCTCCTGGCAGAGTTGAGAGAGTACAACCTGGAGCAGCAGAGGAGAGCACAGGCAGATGCCCACTCCCCTGATGGCACACCAAACGACGCTCCACACAGCACACCTTTGAAGGGCAAGATGACCAGCAGGTGAGGATGGGTCTAGTGGGAAAGACTTCAGAGCGAGACGGAGAAAAGGAGGCGGCTGCCGACAGGATAAGCTCTGATCCGGACACATGGAGAGAGATCCTAACACAGGAGCTGATACGGACACACGGAGATTTATACTGACCCAGAGAGGCCTTGATATAGAAAGAGGTGTGGATACAGACATGCCAAGAGAGATATACAAACAGCGAGTACTGGCACACTGAGAGAGAGACAACCGCAGAGTCACTAGTACCAATGCGCGGAGATATTGATCAAGACAAACTCAGACGCTGCTTAACACTGCACATTTAGGAACCTGGACGCATGCAGTGTTCTGTAATGGCTGTTTTATCATCTCCGTGGTGTTAACCTGTGTGTTTGTGTGTGCGCGCGCGGGCGGGGGCGTAGGTTCGACACGGCGGAGAACGTGGTGATCGTGGCGACGCAGAAGCGCACGCTGGGCGGCCGTGAGCTGCAGCTGCCCTCCATGAGCTCGCTGACCTCCAAGACCTCCACGCAGAAGTTCTTCCTGAGGGTCCTGCAGGTCATCATCCAACTGAGGGAGGACACGCGCAGAGCCAACAAGAAGGCCAAGCAGACCGGCAGACTGGGTAACTACACTGCCTGTCCCGCTTGGGGAACCCTGGGGTCCTGTAGAGCAGGGGTCTCCAGGCCCGGTCCTGCGGAGCCCCGGTCCAGTTACTCTTGTGTAGTGACTTTTACGGCTTCACTAGATTTCCTGTCTCGGGGGCGAAGGCTCCCCTCTCCCACACCTGAGAGGCGTCAGGCTGAATGAACATTCCTGCGTGACCAAGTTGTTGTACGATGGGGTTTGTGTAGCCTGGGTTTTTCTTCAAGAAGTGAAAGTTTGCTGGTCTTATCAGAAGGGGGGCAGGGGGTCATTGTTGGGCCTGATTTTATGAAGACCAGCTTTGCCCTTGTTACGTCCCCAGCATAGCTCAGTCTAGGGGCGAATGGGGATTAACATATGCCAGGGTTTAACGGACGGAAATGCACAAACAAAAAAACACTAATTACACTATTCTACAACCCAATACCCTCTAAACCTGACTCCCAAGAAAGGGGTGGCAAAGCCAAAGCAAAGTCTTGCGCAAGCTCTCTACTCCGTCTAAACTAAGCTATAACGGAAAACGTTAAAAAAAACGCGGATACCACAACAATCCCAGCCCTACACCGCTGCTAAGAAAACACATCCGATACGCCTGGCGTGTTCGCTGTTTCTTCTCCCGCCTCTCTTCCACACACACACACCCTCCGGATGTCCCGTACCGGACCGCTCTGTTCAGCCAATCCAGAGAAGAGACCCAGTTTAGGGACACACCCACCTCGCACAGGAAGGGAATAAAAAAAAAAAACAGAACCTAACACCTTCATTCTCTGAGATTTCCCTGTGGCTTGAGAAGATGCTCTCCTGAGGTTTCCCCTCCGTTACCGCGGCACGACCCTGCCTCGTCGACCCGGTGTTGCTGGCGGGACGCACGCAGCCAGGCCAGGCTGATTGCACTCTGTACTCGTTTAGCGAGAAAGCACTCCTGACGGTGCTAACTTGTTAGGAGCTGTCCCTGCCTCTCTGCGCACACCAGCCACAGTTTATTAATAGCCTTCGTTTGCTTCCTTCCCCCTCCTACATGCTCACTCACTCCCTCTGTCGTAGATCAGAGCCATACAAATATTCATCTGTTCCCTTATCTATTAAAGCAGTTAAATGGCAAGGGGACATGGCAGGGGGTCAGTATAAGCCATTTATGCTGTGACTGTTAAACGATGTGTAAAATGTCATGACTTGTTTTCTTTCCTGTAATGAGTTATGCATGTACAGTAGATGTGATGTCTCCGTCTTGTATTCAGATGTTCAGGAACAGTGTGTATCCGTTATAATTTTCCCCTGGGGATAATAAACTCTCTCTCTTCCTCCCCGTCAGGCTCCTCCAGCCTGGGCTCTGCCAGCAGTATCCAGGCGGCGGTCCGGCAGCTGGAAGCGGAGGCTGACGCCATCATCCAGATGGTGAGGGAAGGGCAGCGTGCCCGCCGCCTGCAGCAGGGCCCCGCCCCTGCCGGCACGACCGCTCCCAGCACGGCCCCCGCGGCTGCCTCCCCCGCGGGCTCCACGCCCCCCGCTGCTGCTGCCGCCGCCGCCGCTGCCGGCGCTCCGAGCGTCGCCCTCCCTGGCACGGCCAGCTCCGCTACGGTTAGCATGAGCCGCGCCCCCCCCAGCCCTTCCCTCCGCCGCCGACGCCTCCACCACCATCGCCGCCGCCGCTGCTGGCCCTCTCGACGGGCCCTCGGGCTCCTGGGTCGCGCCGTTGACCTCTGAGGCCAAAGTGACCATTGGAGAGGCTAGGGGGAAGCTACACCAACACAAGTCTGGTTTGGGGAGGGCTAGGTCGCCAGCCTGTCCCGAGTGGCTGAATGGTCCCGTGTGAGAGGACCCTGAGGGCTGCCCGAGGGTTACTGTCCCCGAGCAGAAGGGAGAGGTCAAGGACAAACATGAGGCAGGCTCTATCGATAGGCCCTGCCTGTTATTTACTACTCATCCTCTACCATGGGATGACGGACAAGGGTTTCAGGAAGGCTGTAAAAATAAAGGAGTGTTGCAATAATAGTTTTGGGCCAGATACCCCCCAAAACGCTTGTACCACCTGTCAAACAGGGAACCAAGGTCTGAGAATGTGGAAAATGACTGAATCTGTGCCAGAATTTGTATGTGAGCTGTGACCTCTGCGCTGTGGTTGAGCCACTGTTTAGATCAGTCTGCTTTCCTCCAGGAATGTGAGGCGTTTGCCTGAATGCAGCTGTCAGGGCAGGGCCAGTGGGTGAAGTCTGGAGTGACGTCCATAAATACGGCCGTGCGAGTGGCCCTTCATTTTGTCACAGCACGCCCCTCTCGGGCGAGTTATGAGCGGCTGTTCTCATTGGGCTGAGCCATCATTATGAAAGGGAGGAGCTGTTTATGAGTGAACTTGAGCGGGGACTTGTTTGGTTTGACTTAATTTAAGTTTTTGTCAGTTTCTCTTTGATTTACAGTGGAGTGAGTTAGAAATTAATACTGGAACGTCCACATACCCTGTGCACCACATGTGAAACGGAAATATTCCGTTCAGTTCATCTTGATAGAGAAGCAAGACATGCAGACACCTGCATACACACTCGTTTCTTGACGTGCTGGCGGACTTGACCGACTGACGCACTGGCTGCCCGAGATGACCACTGACGGACCCTGGCTGGGATTGCACACTGACTGACGCATGCTCACTGAATGGCTGAACAGTGTGATTCATAGCCTGATTTTCCTTCTCGCAAACAAAGCAGTACTGCCTCCTGTCCCCCTGTCTCTTGCTCTCGTCTCTTTTCTTTTTTTTTTCCTTGAATACTCATTTTTCATGTGTCTCTCTCTTATCTGTTCATCTGTCTCTTTGTGGATTCCTTTCTCTGCACATTGTTCTCAGGCTGTCTGTTGTTGTGTGGCTGTGCATGGCAGTCAGTCACTGGTTGCAGATTTGCAAGCTGGCTGAATGTGGTTTTCTGTATTAACCTGTTTCCCTGTCTCTCTCTCCCAATGCTTTTCCAATCATCCTTACTGCCTGTTCCTGCCTCCTCCCACTCTCTCTCTCTCCCAGTCGGAGGCTGCCGTCTCGGAGCCCCCTCCTGCCCAGAGAGATGACTCGCCAATGGATGTGGACCAGCCGTCCCCCCTGGGCCAGGAGTCCTCCAGTCTAGGTTAGAAAACCCAGATATCTCAAGTTCTTGCGTTGTTGTGTAGGTGGCTGGGACAGATGCCAGTGTATTTTGAGACTGCAGTGTGGGTGGTGATCTTCGGTGCCTTACGGTTGTGTTGTTGATGATGTTGCCGTGTAGGTGGAGAGAACAGTGCCCAATCGGAGCGCGAGGAGAAGCTGCCTGACCTGCCCCTCCTGAGTGAGCAGCTCCTATTGGACGAGCTGTGGGACATGCTGGGAGAGTGTCTGAAGGAGCTGGAGGAGTCACATGACCAGCATGCTGTACTGGGTGAGACACGCGCACACGCTGTGCATACTGCACATCATGCACTTTTTTTTCCCCATCACACTTGGTTCTGTTGAAGTGCGTGATAACGTAACCGACTTCTATGTGCGTGTTAACCTGTCTTTTTCTCTGCTCTCCTCCCTCCCGCGACCTCAGTCCTCCAGCCAGCCGTGGAGGCCTTCTTCCTGGTCCACGCCACGGAGCGGGAGAGCAAGCCGCCCGTGCGCGACACGCGGGAGAGCCAGCTGGCGCACATCAAGGACGAGCCGCCGCCGCTGTCGCCCGCGCCCCTCACCCCTGCCACGCCTTCCTCGCTCGACCCCTTCTTCTCCCGGGAGCCCTCCTCCATGCACATCTCGGCCAACCTCCCGCCCGACACCCAGAAATTCCTCCGCTTCGCCGGTGAGCGCACGCGCATTTGCCCACACGTGCCGGAAAGAAATCAGGGCAGTTAAAGGGACACAAACTGGGGCCAATACCTCGGGGAATAGTGGGAAGAATTCTGCAGGCAGACGCACTGAGACCGGTGCACACATCCAGGTCCTGAAACACTGAGACCCTGCTGCAGGGATGGTGACTTACGTTCTACACCAGTCTCAACGCAGTACATCTGTTGACTCTCCTGCCCTCCTCCTCCTCCTCTGTCTGCAGAGACCCACCGGACCGTTCTGAACCAGATCCTGCGCCAGTCCACCACTCACCTGGCCGACGGCCCCTTCGCCGTGCTGGTCGACTACATCCGCATCCTCGACTTCGACGTCAAGCGCAAGTAGGGCTGAGTTTGCACACCTCCTTTTATGTTTTCTGCCTGTTTTTTTCCCGCTCTTTCTCCCCCAGGCCGTTCCTGCGCGTCTCCTCGCTTGTCAGCTTCAGGGCTCGGCCCGTGTGGCAGCCGGATCTGAACACTCTTCTCTCCTTCTCCCGTCCTTTCTTCGTCCAGGTATTTCCGCCAAGAGCTGGAGCGCCTGGACGAGGGGCTGAGGAAGGAGGACATGGCGGTACACGTGCGCAGGGACCATGTCTTCGAGGACTCGTACCGAGAGCTGCACCGCAAGAGCCCTGAAGAGATGAAGAACAGGCTGTGAGTCTCCCCACCCTGAGACACTGCAACACTAGAATACTGAGATGCTACAATGCAGATAAACATGCTGTACACACTCAGTGTACCTGTTTGCCCATTCCCGTGTTGGTGTAACTGTAATCAGCCCTCATTTCTCTCCCCGTCTCAGCTACATCGTGTTCGAGGGTGAAGAAGGTCAGGACGCGGGGGGCCTGTTGCGAGAGTGGTACATGATAATCTCCCGGGAGATGTTCAACCCCATGTACGCGCTGTTCCGCACGTCTCCCGGAGACCGCGTCACCTACACCATCAACCCCTCCTCGCACTGCAACCCCAACCACCTCAGCTACTTCAAGTTCGTGGGCCGTGTCGTCGCCAAGGCCGTGTATGACAACCGCCTGCTGGAGTGCTACTTCACCCGGAGCTTCTACAAGCACATCCTGGGCAAGAGTGTCAGGTACAGTACCTGGAGCACACCCCTCGGGCTCTCCTGAACCACACGGCACCCTGCACTCTTCCGAAACCAGAGGACCCTTAAAAGAGTGAAGGAGGTGCCTTTCTAATCTGTCATTCATGGCTAATATGCCAGAAAATGTTTGTGCACAGTTAAGGCTAGGCTTCCAAGATCTTCCGCCCTGTCCCTACTTGTGTGTCGCTCTTGGCTCCATGCTTGTCTCTCTGACAGGTACACGGACATGGAGAGTGAAGATTACCATTTTTACCAGGGCCTGGTATACCTGCTGGAGAACGACGTGTCCACGCTGGGCTACGAGCTCACCTTCAGCACTGAGGTACCAGGCGCCGCCCACAGCCCTCTCTCAGCGCCTCGTGTGTGTAGGGCAGTGCTTATTCAGTCTCCGTTCTGTCCCTGCTTCAGGTCCAGGAGTTCGGCGTGTGCGAGGTGAGGGATCTAAAGCCCAACGGAGCCAATATCTTGGTGACGGAGGAGAACAAGAAGGAGTATGTCCACCTGGTCTGCCAGATGAAGATGACAGGTGAGGGAAAGGCGCACGCGCACTTCCTGTGTAGTGGAGTTAAAAATGGACGTCCATTTTTACAAAATGGCTATCTGTGCTTTGGGAAGGGTTGGAAAACTTGATGTGCAAAAAAGTGAGGAAACTGAATGAATGGTGATTAGATGTGTTTTTGGGAGGGGAGCATGGCCTTTGACCTTTCACCTGTGCTGACTCTGGCCTGGCTGAACATGCCTTTCTCCACCCCCACTCCCATTCCCCACCTCTGTTCTGTGCAGGAGCTATCCGGAAGCAGCTGGCGGCGTTCCTGGAAGGTTTCTACGAGATCATCCCGAAGCGCCTGATCTCGATCTTCACGGAGCAGGAGCTGGAGCTGCTCATATCCGGCTTGCCCACCATCGACATCGACGACCTCAAGGCCAACACGGAGTACCACAAGTACCAGTCCAGCTCCATACAGGTACCCTGGCTTGCTGTGTGCATCCCTCCTCTATGAATACGGCACAGTGCATTCATTAATACTGTCTCTCTCTTGCTCAGATCCAGTGGTTCTGGAGGGCCCTGCGCTCTTTTGACCAGGCGGACCGGGCCAAGTTCCTCCAGTTTGTTACAGGCACTTCTAAGGTCCCGCTCCAGGGCTTTGCCGCCTTGGAAGGCATGAACGGAATCCAGAAATTTCAGATCCACCGTGATGACCGCTCCACTGACAGACTGCCTTCTGCACACACCTGGTAATATACACCGACCTGAACAGTATATACCCCCTACTCCACTGACAGACACACCTGTATGCACTCTGTTTACGCAGTGTACCTCCATGAGTTTAACTGTAGCGAACTGAAATATTTGCTGGGTTGCGTCTTCTTACTCCAGTACTGATTCTTTGTTTCCGGCTCCATCTGCAGTTTTAACCAGCTGGACCTGCCTGCTTACGAGAGCTACGAGAAACTGAGACACATGCTGCTGCTGGCCATCCAGGAGTGCTCCGAGGGCTTCGGACTGGCGTAGACCGACCGACGTGGACAGAAAGACAGACAGACAGGCGAGCAGGCAGAGACATTGATGGACAGGCGAGAAGGACGAGTGCACAGACACCCTACCCCAGCAGAGCCTCTCTCTCTCTCTCTGCACGGCCTGGGACGGAGAGGGGTGGCGAGAGAGGAAGAGATCGAGAGACTGCGACGCAGAGGATAACGAGGAACGAGACTTTATTTCCTGTGGTTTTACCGGATGTTAATGGGGATGCTTTGTGCCTGGAGAGAGACTTTTCCTAGCTGACGTGTCTTGAGCAACTGAAAGGGCAAAACTAAGAAAAGAAGTTCAACCCTTTTGATTAGATTTTTTTTTGTTTGCCGGGTGGGGAGGGTGGGAATATGGCGCGGGGGTGCGAGTACTTCGTGCGCTGGTATGAAGAAGACGAAGATGATGAAGAATTTCGATCGGCGGCTCCTCCTCGGGGGGTTTCCAGAGAAGCAGCGCGAGTCACTAGGTTCCAGCCTTCTGTCCTGGGTTTGCAGCCCGTCTATTTTTGAGCTTGGGGGGGTAAAAAAAACAAAAGGTGAAATGAAAATAGACAAGTAAATATGTGAGTTTGAAAATGATTTTTTTGCAAAGAAATGACAAAAAATAAAAAGTGCACCTGTATGAAAAATATTATTGTTATTAAAAATGACTTAAGAGAAGAACACCGCTGTGGGTCCTCGGCTGTTTCTGCAGGGGCAGGGATGTGTTGGACCTCTGGGTGGATCAGGGACACTGTTCTTGTCTGGGTCCTGGTTCTGTTTGTGGGCTTTTACTGAGGCGTTCGCTCCCCCCTTCCCCCAGCTTTGGCGTCGCCCCTGGCATTGTGCCCCAAATAACAGCTAATGAATTCATCCCGATTAATAAAGTATGAACTCCGTCATCCCACAGCCCCATTTCTGTGTTTTTTCCTCCCAGTTAGGAAGCGCCAGTGCTGCCCAGCTTATACAGGGAAGTGACTGAGGTTCAGTGTGCGGAGGGTGGGTTTCTTCCACCACACTGAGGTTCTGATACCCCGAGACCAGTTTGTACTTCACCCCCTGAGCCCTGAATCCTCTTAAATCATTCCCTTGTGGGGCACATTCATGGCAGTCAGGCTCTGGTCCGCTGCTGTGAGGGTTATGGGGAACTTATCTGAAAGAACCTGTCGAAGGACTTCAGCACAAAGCTGCAGGGATATCGCACTCTCCGCACTCCAGGTTTCCTGGCACCAGACCCCGTTTTAAGTGCAACTCTTATGTCGTTTCTCCTGAGCAACACCGTATTGGAAGCCGCTCCTTAAACTGGAACCTGGGATAGCAGCTGAGTAAATCTAGTTTTCACACCTGTGTTGCAAGGTGAAGACTAATTAATGCAGCGGTTAAATAGGCAGAATTACCGCCCTGGGTGTGGAAATATAAAAGGCGAGTGGGCAGGAATTGGAGGCTCTGGGAATGTGTGTGTGTGTGTGTGTACGGGTCTGTCATACCACGGGCACAGAGAGTCACTCTTTCCTTCTCGGTAATGAGAGCGCAGCTCTGCTGACCTGGCTGCACTCCTGTCCCAGCGGGCGGTCCTCACTACACAGCGGGGTAGGACACCCGCAGACCCCTGGAACGATCCCTTTAAAAAGCAATGGCTGGCCCAGAGCTCACCCGAGCTTGGGCACCGGAGTCTGACTTGGAGGCGCTCGGTCGTCATGGGGCAGATGACAGGCGGCAGCTTCGCACGTTGGGCTCCTCGGCCGAGCCTCCTGCCCCGGTGCCTGGGCCTGGCTCCGTCTTGGACAGGCGCGGGGCAACTGCTGACCTGCCCGCCCAGGGGTGCATGTAGCTCTCGCCAGCGTTCTGTGTCGACAGTGCTGAGGTAGCAGCGCTCTGTCGGGAATTGAATGTTTCACAGGCCATCGCTTGGAGAGTAGTTTGGTAATACATACGGCCAGCAGCCATATCACCCTGCAACTCGCAGCTGGCAGCCCACTGAAGCTCAGCAGGTGGGAGCCTGGCCAGTACCTGGATGGGAGACCTCCTGGGAAAGACTAAGGTTGCTGCTGGAAGAGGTGTTAGTGGGGCCAGCAGGGGG